GGCCTCAGAGTTAAAAAAGATAAATGCCAGTTATGTACCGAAAAAGTAGAATTTTTGGGATACCTCCTGGACAGCCAAGGAATCCATCCCACCGAAGACAAATTAAGGGCAATTAAAAAGGCCCCCACTTCAAGGAACAAGGCAGACTTACAGGCGTTCCTTGGACTTATCAATTTCTATAATGTCTTTTTACCACACAAAGCAACGGTAGCAGAACCATTGCATAGACTATTAGACAAAAAAGCAACGTGGGTTTGGGGACAACGGGAACAATGTGCTTTCCAACAAGTAAAGAAATTGCTAAATTCTGATTCTGTACTTATGCAGTACAACGAGACTCTTCCGCTCACTATCACGTGTGACGCATCACCTTTTGGGGTTGGGGCAATTCTGGCCCACGTATTACCAAATGGAGCGGAAGCCCCCATCGCGTTTTTTTCGTGAACCCTAGCTAAAGCTGAAAGAAATTATAGTCAGCTGGACAAGGAAGCTTTAGCTATTGTGGCTGCAGTTAAAAGATTTCATGAATATGTTTATGGCCGTGCGTTTACGATAATTACCGATCATAAACCGCTACTGGGGATCATTGCGGGTAATAAACCAACCCCGTATATATTGTCCCCCAGAATGACCCGTTGGTCTGAATTCTTGGCGGCCTACAACTACACCTTGCAACATCACCCGGGGAAATCAATTCTCCACGCTGATGCATTGAGCAGAACACCGCTCCCAGACACTGTTGTAGATCCAGCCCCAGCCATCTCAACACTACAGATCGAAGCTCTACATGCACCACCCTTGACGGCTAGAGACATTGCTTTTGAAACGAAACGTGACCCAGTTCTGCAACACATCCTGCGCTGGGTTGAACGGGGGTGGCCGACGGACCAAATAGCACCGGAATGGGCACCTTTCAAAGCCCGCCAAACCGAACTGTTTTCCCAAAAAGGCTGTATCTTGTGGGGCGATCGAGTCGTAATCCCTGGCAAATTGCAACAAACTGTTTTGGCGGTATTGCATGAGGGACATCCGGGTATCGTGCGGATGAAAGCACTCGCACGCAGCTACGCTTGGTGGCCGGGAATTGACAAAAGAATCGAGGCCTGGGTCGCTACTTGTCAACGTTGCCAGGACGTCAGCAACGCCCCACCTAAAGCAAGCCCAACCGAATGGGAAACTCCGAGGGGACCTTGGTCCCGTATTCATATTGACTTTGCGGGGCCTACCAAAGGACACACTTTCCTTATTACTGTCGACGCCTATTCAAACTGGCTCGAGATTCATCGAATGAATACAACTACAACGGACTCAGTCATCAATAAATTAAACAGACTATTTGCCACACACGTATTTCCGGACGTGTTGGTCTCGGACAACGGCCCACAGTTTACTGCATTACCCTTTGAACAATATCTTGCTGATCGGGGCATCCGCCATGCGCTAACCTCGCCCGCGCACCCTGCGGCGAATGGACGTACAGAACGCATGGTACAATTTGTAAAAAAGACCCTCCACAAAATGGAATTTGGCCACATCGACGAGAAAATCAATCGAATTCTCTTGTTGCAGCACATCACGCCCCACAGCGTGACCAACAAAACGCCACATAGACCAACTCCGCTTGAGATTACCACCCAGCACCCATGACTCCCCGGGTTCACCAACTCAAGGGGGAGGAAATATCGAGGAAATTGACTTTGATATGACAAATAGCAGGCCAACGGAAACCCTACGGCCCAGCGAAACACCGGAACTTGAAGCGGGGAGGGAGTTGAATTTTTCAGGGAACTTTAATACGGGGGAAACCGAACTGCAAAACCCCGAAGAAACACGGAGTAGCAGAGACAACCACAGTGGAAGCAGCACGGAATCACCGTGCAGCGAAACTGTAGTTAATAAAGATCATCCAAACGTTCCACCGGAACCGGACCTTAGACCAAACCAGGTGGAACCACGGAAATCAGCCAGACAGACCAAACGGCCTGTCTATCTTGAGGATTTTGTTACAGCCCCCCTCAAACGGACCCCAAGGGGGAGGGGTGTTGTGAATCAATAAAAGTTACTAGCATAAATGCAAATCAGGGTTTGGGAACCTGCATACCTGATTGGCCCTTATACAACAACTAGGGATTGGTCCATAAGTAGTCCCTGATTGGCCACTATTTGGACACTTCTCATTGGTTATAAGTTTGAACTTATTGCACATGTCATTGGTTAACAAGGTAGCAGATAACCCTATAAAAGGGTTGCTGTTGCCCATAGCCTTGCTCTGTTCTATTCTATTTACAATTATTAAAGAGTTGAAGTCACTGGTCAGATGTCTGGTCTCCATTATTTCCCAAACTTAACATAAATAATGTCCCAAACTATACAATCCTTTGAAAAGGATATAATTTGTCCAACCTAACAGCAAATTGACAATCAAATGTAAAATTAGTGGGACTTGCATCGCTTGAATCTTAACTTGCATGTTTCACAATAATGTGCTTTCAATGAATAGAACAGAACGGAACGGAACAGAGTGTCTATGGAGATTCTCAGTCATCCAGGTCATGGTTGTCCTGAAGATGCATTTTCAAGAGGCCATTAGACTTTCTGTTTATCTGCTGAAGAGTTAATGAAGCTTCTAGGATGAAAAGAAAGAAAATCCAGAAAGTCCAGTTGCCTCTTGAAAAGCATCTTTAAAATAGAAAATAGAACAGAACAGAACAGAACAGAATAGAATAGTATAGGAATTCAATTTTTTATTGGCCAAGTGTGATTGGACCCACAAGGAATTTGTCTCTGGTGCATAAGCTGTCAATATATACACAAACAACAAAGTGATAAGTCATAGATCAGAAATCACAACATAGTATCATAAATCATAAGATACGACAACAATTGATAAATCATAATACAATATACCAATAGAAGAAGTTAATAGGAAAGAGAAGTGAGAAAGATGAAAAGATGTGAAGGATAATGGCAATACAACCTACCAGGTTATTTCAATGATTGTAATCATACTCTTTCGATGTATATGTCTTATGATATGTATTTTCAATAATTGTTACCCTAGCTGACTTTAGTGCTTTATGTCCGAAATGCTATAAAACTGTATTTCCCTTCCCTGTCCTCTCTTGGACATACAGTGCTAGGATATTATACTAAGACACCATAAGGAAGATAATGGTTCTTTCTTCATAAGGAGTAGACTGGAGATGCCTGAACCTACCATCCATACTACTGTTTGTTCGTTTGATTTATATGCCCCCCATCTCACTGTCAAGCAAATCTTCTGCTTGAATCCGCTTAATATTATATCCCCAAACGCCAAAAACTTTAACCTTAGACAGTCTACTATTGACCTCACCCGCTTCCTAAGAGGCCTGTAGGGGGCGTGCATAAGCGCACCAATCGTGCCTACCGTCCCTGTCCTATTGATTTTTATTTTTCTTATAAGTATCTATCTCATGTATTCAAAACTATGTTTATTCTTATACCTGTATCTTGTGAGCGATTGACAAATCAAATAAATACTAAAAAAAAAAATACTAAATATGGAGAAACCAACTTGATAATGATCTTCTTCATAGCCCCTAAATGCTCCCGATTTGCCAAGTTGGCCTCAAATTTTGCTTTCAGGAAATCTTCCTGACATCCCTCTTAAAATTACATTGTTCTTCAGCAAGTGTAAACACCATAAAATTATTTGGAAAAAAAAACCTAGTGTCCATTAGAAGGCAACACAGAGCAGGGAGGATGGCCTCCTGGGTAAAAAGGGATGGAAGGGGATTTTTTTGTCTCCTACCCTTGGTCACTCCTCCTTCTCCACCAGGGTTCCTCCTCGGGCAATTCCCCTCTGACTTTTCTCCTTGGCTGGCACCCCCTGCCCATTCGCCCTGGGCAATGGGCCACAGCCCCTCCATCCCACCCGCTTTGGCACAGCCAATTCATTCAAGCAGGGTTCGTCCTGGTTTTTTTTTGCCACCCAGGACAGTTAGCCAATGCCAGCAGCCAGAAGCCATAGTGCAATCTTGGTGGAGGGGTTTGGGGGAGGGGCTGCAGCCAAATGGCTTTAGGAAAGCCAAATACTTTTTAGGAGAAGGAAGGGGAGGGGGTAAGTAAGAAAGGGAAGGGAAGGGAAGGGAAGGGAAGGGAAGGGAAGGGAAGGGAAGGGAAGGGAAGGGAAGGGAAGGGAAGAGCGGGAGGGGCTAAGTATGCCATCTTCATCCAAGGGGGGGAGGGGGAGAGAAAGAAAAGAAAAGAAAAGGAAGGGAGGAAGGAAGGAAGGAAGGAAGGAAGGAAGGAAGGAAGGAAGGAAGGAAGAAAGAAAGAAAGAAAGAAAGAAAGAAAGAAAGAAAGAAAGAAAGAGGAAGGGGGAGGGAAGGGAAGGGAAAGGGAATGAGATATGGATGGAGGGCAGGAGGGATGGAGGGAAAAAGGAGAGGAAGGAAGGACCATAAATACCAGGCAGGTTCAGAGGATACTTCGAAACAGCCCAGCAATCCAGGGCTGAAAAGGGACCTCAGAGGTCATGTAGTCCAACCCCCTGCTCCAACAGGAGACCTTATGTCAACTGGTTTGTTTTGGCACACTGGTGGATTCAATTTTTTTTACTACCGGTTCTGTGGGCATGGCTTGGCTTTGTGGGCATGGCTTTACGGGCATGGCAGGGGAAGGTTACTGCAAAATCCCATTCCCTCCCCACCCTACTAACCTGCTTTTCAGCTCTGTTCTCCTGTGCAGGGCAACCAAAGAAGACCCAGCCAATCATCTGGGACTCAATGGGAGGCAGAGAAGAGATGGGGTTGGCAGGGCCAGTCAGAGGTGGGATTTGCCGCTTCTCCAAACTACACAAAATTTCCGATACCTGTTCTCCAGAAGTGGTCAGACCCGGCTGAATATCACCTCTGTTTTGGTACCTTTAGCACACAGGAGTAATTCCCAGAAAAGGGAAGGAATTTACTTGGCAAGGCTGCCATGCACAGGAAGGCAGAGATAGTCCTCGACTTACGACAACAATTAAGCCCAAAATTTTATTGCTGAGCAAGAGCTTTCACCCATCTTACGGTCTTGCCACCATTGTTAAGCGAGTAGTTGCAGCTCTTAAGTGAGTCACACAGTTGCAAAGTGAATCTGGCTTCCCCTGAAGCGCGTGGGATGGAGGGGCCATGGCCCATTGCCCAGGGCAAATGGGCGAGGGCTTGTCAGCTGAAGAGAAAAGTCAGGGGATAATCACCCAAGGAGGAACACTGGTGGAGATTTTCCCTGTAAAAACTAGAATTACAATTCTACAAATGCAGTCCATCTGTACTGAGTTTTTCAGCACTTCAAAGGGTGGTGTTTCTAAGGATTGAAATGTTAATGTGCCAAAACGGCTTATTGCAGGGATGTTAGTTTAAGAGATAGTTCTAAGTATAATCAAATATTCATACAAGGTGCCTGAAGTGTACCATTATTATCCCAAGTGTTTTGTAAACGTCAAAAAAGATTACATGGACCAGTCTTTCTCAACCTTGGCCATTTGAAGAGGTGTGGACTTCAACCCCCAGAATTCCTCAGCCGGCATAGCATAGAATCCTAGGAATTGGTCCACACCTGTTCAAATGGCCAAGGTTGAGAGACACTGATATGGACCGTTTTTAATCTGACTTTCCAAAATTGTCTGAAAGTCTCCTATCATTCCACAAAGGCATTCATATTTAGCCTGGTCCTACCCACATTCAAAATTTAAAGCAATTAGATGTAAGTGGACAAGACATCCTCCTCCTCATCAGAGCTGGTATTCAGCAGGTTCTAACCAGTTCTGGAGTTTCTGCAGGTTCTGACCATTTCTGATAGCAGAAATTTTGAGTAGTTTGGAGAACTGGTGGTAACCTTCCCCCAGGAGTGGGGTGGGAATGGAGATTTTGCAGTATCCTTCCCCGGCCATGCCCGCCAAGCCATGCCATGCCCGCCAAGCCATGCCCACAGAACTGGTAGTAAAAAAAATTTTGAATCCCACCACTGATCCTCATCCTCATATTTATTTTTATTTATTTTTTATTTGATTTGATTTGCCAATTGTTTACAAGATAATAAGTATAAGTGTATACATAGTTGTGAATACATGAAATGGGTACATATAAGAAAAATAAAAGAAGAATAAGAGAAACAATAGGACAGGGACGGTAGGCACGTTGGTGCGCTTATGCACGCCCCTTACAGACCTCTTAGGAAAGGGGTGAGGTCAATAGTAGACAGTCTAAGGTTAAAGTTTTTGGGGTTTGGGGAAGAAACTACAGAGTCGGGTAGAGTATTCCAGACATTGACCACTCTATTGCTGAAGTCGTATTTCCTGCAATCAAGTTTGGTGCGGTTAACTTTGAGTTTGTATCTATTGTGTGCTCTTGTGTTGTTATGGTTGAAGCTGAAGTATTCATTGACAGGTAGGACATTGCAATGTATGATTTTATATACCATGCTTAAATCAGACCGAAGACGGCGTAATTCAAGGTTTTCTAGTTCTAGAATTTCAAGTCTGGTGGCATAAGGTATTCTACAACGAGTAGAGGAGTGGAGAACTCTTCTTGTGAAATATTCATAGTTCACAAGAATAGCCAAGTGAATGTTCACCTGTATGAAAATACAGCACCCACATTCAGACGATTTTGTTGTCCCTTCCTGATGAAATAAGCCCCCTTTCCCTGAGCAGGGAAGTCACCCCTTTTGAGACTGGGTAGATCACTCTTCAGAATTTGGGCTAGGCATGGGGGGAGGGGGAGTTGATCCGTCAAAGGGAGCAGCGTATGCCTGTTGCAGCTCCCTCCCCCCAAGCAGCCTTGTCTTCTCAGTTCTGGAGTCTCGTGATGGATGAGGCCTGTGGTGGTACCTGGCTGGAAAAGGAGGGATGATAGATGGACCTGTCAATGCTGAGGTCTCCCCTGCTTCTCCTCCAGGAGATACGTGTCTGTGAAGCTAAGTGAACGAGCAGGGATCCCACATCTTGTGGGCAACATCAAGACAAACAGGCATCGTTTAACATTCAAAGCAGCAGAAGAAGTGGAGACGCTTTTACCTCGCATCAGAATATAAATCCAGTAGCTCTCTCCTATGTATTTGTGGTATACATCTGAACAGGTAGAATCATATGAGAAGAACAATGGAGGAAGGCATACAACTTCCCTCTCTTGCTCAGTCTGTCTCAATCTCTCTTTCTCTCACACTCTCATACACAAACCACAAAAACACACATGCACACACGTACAAGGTTTATTCAATAAAGCTGACTGCTAATAGGTCGCAGTTTGGAAAAACAAGTTTATCACACCATGCATAATTTAATGATGTGATACGTTGTTATTGCAAGAAATAATGGTTGTTGCATACTGACTTTGTTGAGTTTTAAAAAGGTGTGTGGTGTGGGGGAGGATTTCATTAACCAAGCAGCTAATTAAGTGATTCTTCTTATAAATCCTTTGCCTTCTACTCTTCCTCCTATGAGTAAAAATGGTTGAGGTAAATCAGGATTGCTGAAGCCATTAATCTGGCCCACACAGAACAATGAGGCCCACCCATATCACCCCACTCCCCCACCAGCCCCCACCCTTCAGGCTGGAACTGGCAGGTAAGGCCAACATTTTTGGCTGTCAGAATGCTTCTGGAGGAAGGGGAAGCCAAAAATGGGCCACGCAGAGGCCTCCTGGGGCCTCCGTGTGGCTGGCAGAGTGCTGCAGGAGGACTGGATTGGAGGAAGAGGGCCGGCCGCTCGTCTACCCGCCGGCTGGACTAGTCCCAGTTTCAAGCAACAAGAGATTTGTTACTTTTGGGGAGACCATGGAATTGCCCCACTTCCTCACCAGCCAGTGGTCTTCAGCACGCTGCTCATCAGCCTCCGGACATCAGATTCCCACCACCCACCACCAGTTCAGGGGTTCCTTCTCCCCACCCCAGGGGGCAGAGACAGAGTCAGAGAGGGACAGACAGAGAGAGAGATGGAGGGAGGGAAAGAGAGGTGGGACTTGTTGATTGTAAGCTCCTTGAGAAGAATGGCTGCAAAACTGAGATTCCTGAAGTGGATCACTAGACTCCTAAACAAATGAAAAAATGATCTAGTAAAAAGAAAAGCCAACCAAAAGAGCAACATGCAAACAAAAGCAAATAAAACACCCCCAGGAGCAAAACAAATTAAAATTTAATTTGTGTGTATTGGACTGCTAAATTAGCCATGCCCACCCAGTCACATGATGACCTAGCCATGCCCACCCAGCTGGTCCAGCCCCCGACAGTCTGAAGAACCGTAAATTAGCCCCCTGTTAAAAAAAGGTTGAGAACCCCTGCTGTAGATTTTAGCTAAGCCTCAGACTTGAGAAGTAGCAATGTCTGGGAGTGGCAAAATTATAAGCAATCTAGCAGTGAATGAGGAAATAACATTGGGTTGATTATAAGAGTTCAAAATGGTGGCACAGTAGATGCTTAGAGCTCTAAAATGCAATTAAAGACAGTTGATGAGAAAGGCAAGCATTTGTCTATGCAATTGCCAGGAATTGAATCCAATGCAATGGTGTCTAGTTATTTCAAAATTGGACCAAACTATTTCTAAATTAGTGAATAAGTAAATAAGCTAAATAGTAAAGATGAATATACAGTATGTATCTGTAGGAGCCACTAGGTGAGATCAGCAACTGTATAAATATGACAGACAGACAGACAGACAGACAGACAGACAGAGAGGGAGGGAGGGAGGGAGGGAGAGAGATAGAGAGAGAGAGAGATGATGATGATGATGATGACAGACAGACAGACAGATAGATGGATGATGGATGGACAGAGGTAGATGGATGTGAGAGGATGGATAAATGGATAGATGGATAATGGATCAATTGATTCTTGAAACCATTCCAAAAATCTGCTATTTATTTTCATGTGGAGAAAATATCTGTCTGTCCCTTTTTCACTCATGGTGTCCAGACTACAATGACAATTAGCCCAGGAAGAGAAAGACATGTTTCCCATTTCTGTATGAATTTTATGAAATTTCATATTCCCAAAAGTAATACAGACTGAAACTGAGCTCTCATTCTTAATGTCGAATTCCCTAAAACCTACAGTGCAGTTCCACAATTTTAAAAATGCCACCAAACAAGGAGTGGATATGATGTTTTAAAAGATATAGAAATGCAATATATTCAAGGACATTATTTTCAAAATCTCAGTGCATTGGTAGGGTTGGAAAGTACGTATCATTGAAAATATGCATACAGGATATCGCTGTCTATGTACATACATGTATCACAGCAGAGGATAAGAAATGTCTCCAAGAAAACAACCCAGCTCAGGGAATACCAAGGATGCCACCAGAGAAGGTAAGAAATGGAGAAGTCCCAAAATGATTTTACATCCCTCACAATCTCCAGGCTGTACCTCTGTAGGATAGTCTTTCTGTATTCTTACTTTTTGCTTTCATCTTGACTACCAGGGGAAGTTAGTATGAAGTGGAATGGACAGGAGTCATAGTTGGCAAAGCATGTGGTAAGTCAATAGTAGAGTAATTCATGTCCACCCAACTACAGGGCTACAAGGCACTCAACTTGGGGCTGAATATTTAGATGCTGCAATTGGTTCAGATCGCAGAGGTCCACATACTTTTGGACTTCTGATCTTGAGAGGACATGAAGCCGGCTTCGCAGACTCAGCACGGTTTTAATGTGTAAAATCTTTCAAGGCTTGGCACTTCAGGACCATCTTCTTTAGCCAGTATCAGACCAAATAATTAGCTCTATCAGAAATTCCATACCTTGTGGACATTTGAGGACCAAGGTGATGAGATATTGCTTTTCTCTTGCAGCTCTGATATTGTGCAGAGGCTTGGTTTTGTTGGTTTGGTTCCATTTGATAATGTAGTCATCTTCTTAGACTGTATGTGTCAGTTCCACCATCTTCGGCTTGGTGCCTTGCTGGTGTTTGGTCATCAATCGGGGAAGAGAGGGGGAACAAATGGGCAGTATAGCTATATATCTTTATGATGGGATATTGGGAGAAGGGAATAACAATTGAGGAAGAACAGAGGACTTTGGAATCTGGTTCCGGCTGGTACACTCGCATCTTCAACGTAGTTTGCCCTGAGAATGGATTTTCACCAGCCCAAATACCTCAGCATTTCCCCCCAAAAAAATCTTGGCGGTGCTGGATTGGCTACACGTGGGTGGACTATGGGGAAGGGGCAGCTAGGGGGAACCAGGGGTTTCATTCTGGATTGGTACCTGGAAATTTTAGATTCCGCTTGACTTTACTGAAATCAGCATCTCTTAGTAAAAGTGCATTTTCACTTCAACCAAATAGAGTCTTCCCTAGGAGATCAGAATGGGGCAGGTCTGACAGTATGGTTGTAGTGTTCTTATGTTTTTATTTTGGGGTTGTTTTTTTCTCTGTGAACTTCCAAGAGTTGTCTTAATTGCAGTGGCATAGAAATATGTCCAGCATTTAACAATACAATATAACCATGTTTAATATGTTTCATTACTATAAAATATTAAATAAACAAACCAACAAATAAATACATGAACTAGTCCTACACCATGGAGGGATTTTGACTTTAGTGCAAAAAAGTTTATAAACAATTGCCAACTCTGGTCAAAGATATTTGCTGTTAAACAAAATTTGGGGAAGAGAATGAGAAGGGGTGCCAGCATATCTGAGTTCAGCAATTCTCCTTTGGGAGCATTCATGGTTTAATTGGAGAGCTTCAACATGAAGTGGTTTCAGTTGAATCTCCAAATGGAATCAGTTTGCTGAGTCAAATTGGGGAAATCTAATTGAATTGTTGACTTAAGCAAGGGCTCCTGAGTTAATTTGACAATCAGTTATGCACATTGATCTAGAAAATTGAATCAATTCTATTTAGTGCTCTGAATGGAAATATTGAATCAACTTGATTTTCAGAATTGGTTTGAATTCCTGAATCAAAATTAATGATTCTGGTGGGGGTTGATCTGCACAACTTTATCCTTTTTTCAAACTTCAGCTTCACCAGCAAACACAGTCCACAGCTGGATGAAGAAACTGTTATGGAAATGATACTTTGATTCCCCCAGAGTGAAGAACCTCCTTGAATAATGTAGTCTTCCATGACCAGGGAGCCTTTTATGTGCATCTTCAGACAATGCAGAAGAGGTACTTTTCGCCTGATCCTCCTCACCTCCCATCTCCAAAGCACATCATTCTCTGATTGCAGACAACATTAAAGAGTTTTCATTCCAAAAGAAGTTAATTAAGCTTTTGCTGTTTGTCCTCCAAATGACAATGTGCCAAGAAGGACCAATTATATTAAATATATCTGCAGCCCATTTTGAAATCTTTAAATAATATAGGAGGTATTTAAAATGCCAGCACAGTCAACAATAGCAACACAAATAGGATGTTAAAATAGACAGGAAAAGCAGCTGCTCCTCACCAAAGGTGTGCACTCTTGTTGTGCACCATCCATGAATAAATCAATCTCCCGGCTTTATACCATCATCTGTATCCTTTCTTCTTCTTCTTTTTTTCAAAATTGTTAGCTGCCTTAGTGCCGGTAGGCAGAAAAATAGAATATCAATCATAAAAATATAAATGAGCACTTAGGAATCTGGAGATACCTTCACTTCATCAATCCATGACATTCAAACACACACACACACACACACACACACACCTGTCCACAGGGAGGGGCTACTTGCTGTTTTCCATAGCCCCTTCAGCAACGCCTTTCTGTTACCTTATGTCATTATTGTAATTCTTAGAGTACCCAAATTACCAGTTTTTAATGGTGCAGCATATTTTGTTCCTTTTTTTTGAAGTAGTCAGTATAACACGTGTGTTCAGGTGCATCTGATTGACAGGTGATGGAATTGACAGCATCAAGGACTCTGCCCACACCATCAGATCCAAGAGGATCACACTCTTCCCAATTAACCAGATAAGACCTTTCCCATGGCATCGGTAATAGATCTGCACTATGTGTGAGTTCCAACTGGAATAATCCGAGTCCATCAGTTATTTCACAAATTCCTCTCCATGGCCTAGAGCCCTCCTGTCTTGGGAGGAGCCAGGTGGTCCCAAACAGGGCCATGGAGCAACACTCTGTAGCTGCAATAAGGATGGAGAAATAATGCAATAATTTTCCTTAGAAAGAGAGGAAGGTGCATATTAACCCACACATGTAAAACATCAAGAATCAGCTTTCTGATGGATCTCACTGGTCCCTAATCCTGCCAGCTTTGCAGACTGGTGGGGGCAGGTGTGTGTATTCATGCATGCAGCAGGCACTCAAACATGCATGTGAAGTTCCATTTGTGCAAGTGCCCACTGCTTATGCAAATGCAGCTGCGCACGCACTCACCATCACTTGCACGACCCTGTTCCGAACAAGCCATGAGCCAGTACTGAGCCATATCCCAGGGTTTGAGGTCCCCTGGTTTCAGTGTTTAGTGTTGTTTAGTTAAGTTTATTTAGTCAGAGAAAATATAGTCATTCCTTATTTCTCATTCTAAGGAAAACAGTTTTTATACCTTGGTGAATGCTGAACCTGTCAGGATTCCAGCAATCACCCTAATTAAATCATGATTCTCGAGCCAAACTTCGAAAAACTTCAAAAGATTTATTAGAGATGACGTACTGGCACTGCCCTGATGAAGACAACTCTGGCATAGGTAATTTACAGTCACCTGTGACCCTGTTTCCCCCCTCCCCCCCGGGTGTCTCATAAACCAGATTCTCCAATTGAGCATGTTCATGGGCTGGGTGTCATCATTCACGTTCTCCAATTCATATTCACGGGCAAAAACTCTGGTATTTTAGTTACAATCTTTTAAAAATAAGAGTTGGAATGTACTTTTGCTTTCAAACTGCTGCACTGCTCTTCCTGATTTCTTTCCTCCGCCCCCCCCCCTTTTTTTATGGCAACTACTAAAACAGGCATAGGAATATTTTATGAGTTGACAAAACCTTTATTTAGACACCAAAGATCAGGATTTTATACATTGAAAATAGTCAGGCGAAGAATGAATCCTGCTACATGACCCATTTCAACGCACTGACTGACCTCATTGGTTGAGATGCAAATAGCTAGTAGCCACAAGTGATCAAACTCCCATTTAAACATTTTAGTCCCCACCCCACCCCCCCACCCCCACACACATTTATTTTCTCCAAGGAAGCAGTTCCATCTGTTTGCTTGAGAAACTCGTATTGTGCAGATGAATAAATATTAACACACCAGCTATCCTACATGCTGCTCCAGACCTGTCACCACACCTGACCTGCAAAATGCAGAAGGTCATCCCACCATTTGCAAAGCCAGGTTAAGTAGCCCTACTATAACTCCTTCTCATTTGTGATTGGCCATGCCCTCCACAGCAAAACTTGGGCATCCCAATGCCCATAGTCTATTCTCCAACCTCCAAATAACCCAATCAGCCAAAAGATCTGGAGAGCCTTGCTTCCTTTCACCAACCTTTCCTTTATTCATGTCAGATCAAGTGTGTCAATGGGCCAAAGCAATCTCTTTATTGTTGATCTTGATAATACAAGAATCCCACCAAACTGGCCGCAGACTGACTACATTCCCTTGGGAATCAGAAGATAAGGCTAGACTTGTTTATGATGTTTCCTCTTTCGGGGCAACTCCATATTGCCAAATCTCTTAACGCTCCCTTCCCCTTTAGCCAATGATTCTACCACAATTCCTGTCCATTGTGCATTCTTTTTAATGTTTCTTTGGATAGAGATCGTTTTTCTATTCTGTATTTATTATTCCTTTGTTAAATTGCAAACAAATGGACAGTAAATCCAGATGTAAATATCCCTCTTCAGAATCCCCTATTGCTTTAATTTCATCCTGGCATTGCAGTCCCCACTTTGCAAGGGTCTCATAGATTCTTCATCAGGCTGTGGGACAATCAGAAGAACAAGTTCATTTCTCTTTGCAAGATAAGATGTGATTTCACTGAGGAACTGACAGCTCCATCCTGACAAACCTGTAGTCTTAATTTGGGATTTCAATTAAAATGTAATTGGACTTGTCTGATGCTATAGAAAGAATCCTTTTGTGCCATCTATTCTCATCAAAGCAGAATAGCAAAGAAAAATGTACCTGAAAACTGTAATCACAAGGAAAAAAACACAGAAGAGGAAATTCTTGGGATATAAGAGAGAAGATGAGCTATGGAGCAGTGGTTTTCTGGCTCTCCAAGAAACCCAGAATCCAAACATGCCAGGACTGTGGTCTGAATAATTGAAGAAGACAGAAAGAAGCCTTTGAAAGGAGGTGGCTAAAGGGAGAATGGAATCCATCCCGTCCAGTTCAACTCTATCTGGCTCCCTTCTTTGGTGAACTTCTCTACTGATATCCTCAGTCCCCATCACTCTCCTGATGTCAACCCTCCAAGGTAGACCAAACTTGGAAATCAAAGACATGTAAGCTAAAGCTATTTTTATTATTAATTCATTTATAGCCCATCCTTATTGTTTTTTTTTATAAATAGCTCAAGGCAGTGAACATACTACAGTGAACACAATATTCCTTCCTCCTATTTTCCCCACAACCACCACCCTATGAGGTGGGCTGAGCTGAGATAGAATGATTGGCTGAAAATCTCCCAGCTGCCTTTCATACCTAAGGCAGGACTAGAACTCCCAGCCTTCTAGTAATTGGTCCAAGTCAACCAGCCAGTTTTCATGCCTAAGGCAGGGCTAGAACTCATTGTCTTCTGGTATATGGCCTAAAGCAGTGATGGCTAACCTTTTCAGCTTGGTGTGTCGAAAATCGGGAAAAAGTGTAGCCTTCCTTGGGTCGTGTGTCACTTCAAGAAATATCAATAATTTGGTTTATGACGGACTGGGCTGGGGTGATCACACGGGGCTGTGAAACTCGTCTCCCTGGTCTCAGGGCTGCAGGTGCAGGATGTGGGGATCGGAAGGCCACCTTACAGGGCTGTGAACCTCATGGATCTCCTTTCCTCCTGTAGCGTTCCTGAGGTAATGAAACTGACAAACCTCAGTTTATGGCGGTTAAAACTGGTTCTCTGCTGCAAAGATCTCGCGGCAGCGGTGACACCACGCCTCCACGCAACAAGCAGGGAGCAGGGATTGGAGCAGAGCACAGGCAGCCTCTAAATGTGCAGGTTTTCCCCACACCAACAGGCGTGTCAGTCAAAGTGCCTCGGCGTGTCACAAGTGACACGCGTGTCATAGGTTAGCCATCACTGGCCTAAAGTCACCTAGTCAGCTTTCTTGTCGAAAGTGGAGCTAGAATACAGCCTTCTTGTTCAGCACTTTAACTAATACACCAAACTGGCTGTCAGCCGTCACACTCAGTGCATGCAGCAAATAAAGACTCCTGGCCCATTCTTTGTTTCCAAGAGTATAATGTAATGTGAAGATATGAATACAGAAGCAGTGAAGCCATTTCCTTTGCCCTCCTATTGCCACTTTACTCCATCCAATCAATTATGTTCAGTTTATTTGGGGAACAGACTTTGGTGAACTTTCCCAGCTGGTAAGCTTGAATTGCTGGTATGTGTCGCTGCAGAGTCTGTGCTCTTGCATTCCATTACCACCTCCCTTGCATTCCAACCCATAACCTGCCCCCTTCATTTCTTGTCTGGCTGTGAGCTGGGTTTGCAAATCCAGCGGTGACGCTGGCTAATAAAGTTTCTAGTAACACAATCTTGCAAGTCTAAATTCACATCTCTTTCCCTCCTCCCATCTTCATAAAAACTAGGGAGGGGCGTGTCTGAGATCCCTTTTCAAACTGTATTTTTGCGTAGGACTCAGATTTCTTTTATTTAACTCTATTGCGGTGATTGTGTCTCTTCCTCTTGTTACAAGTTCCTTCTGCCTATTACATGTTAACTCCTGTTGAAAACAGGCCATGATATGCTGACTGATAAACAGCCTGTAAGCTCCATTACCCCTGTCCAGCAAACAGTCTCCTTCATGGTGCAAAAGAGACGGATCACCTGGTGACCTGCTTTCCATCTCTATTCTGCTCCCATAATATGCACAAAAGAATTATTTAAAAAAATAAGCAAACGTTGCTCCCTTTGGGATTGCCTGTATTAATTACACATGATACAACTCTTCCAAGTAGCTTTATAAAGTTCTGCCTCCCTTTGATAAATATGCAGACAGATAATGTACATTCTTGCCTGTTACTCATATTTTATATTCTCCTTGCTTTTCCCTGCCTTTTATCCCCTTTTGCCAGTTAACTGGTTTTGCTGTTGGCTGATATTTAATAAATGAACATAAAGCTAGACTTTTTGCTAGCTCCACTGAATGGTGTAGGCTTGCTTTGATCTGGATCTGGGAATTGACCAGGAGTGTGCTTGATGCAACTAAACTAGAAATAACCCACAATAATTATCCAAAGCAGCCAATGTATTTTCCTTCTCCACTGTAACTAGCAAGGTTCAACCAATCCCTGACTTCACCAAGGAGGGTTAGAAACAGATTTTGGTTGGAAACCTCAAGTGGAGTTGCTGGCTAATTTGGGGCACAAAATGGCCAGACTTGGTAGTATTCAGCAAGTACCCAGGATCTTGGGGGGAAATGTTTGTCTGACTACATGTCCAGATGCACCTGGAACAAAAGAGAGAAACCCAAAAGCTCACAAGCTGAAAATGGAACTGGAATGTATTTAAGAAGATCTATAGTGTCATTTGGTCAAAACCCATGTGTCAGCAATGGCTTACTAGGGCCAGAAAGGTTCCAGTTAAGTAATTCTGGCACACTTTTCATGGCACAAATTGGCTGCAGTACTGTCATGCATCTTCAAAACAAGCCGATACGGTAACCATTGAAAAGGATAGCGTTAAAATCATTCCGTGAGTTCTCACACACTTGAGGGCTAGAAGGCTAAATGATCTCTCCTTGTTTTATCAGAATTGCCTTCGGGAATAGGCCAAGCAGTGGGAATCTCTGTCAAAGACCAGAATGGGACGAGAACCACGACAAACTGCAGACGTGCCTTTTCACAGAGACATCCAGAAAGGGGGCAGGGTGAAAAAAAAAAATCAAGACAGCAGCCACAACTGTGTGATTGAAGACCTGCTCTCTCTATATAAAAAGAAGCAGGGCTTTGATTGCACCCTCATGGCTGAGATGATGAAATGTTTTCACCCCCAACTCACTGCAAAGGCTCCTGCTTTTCTCTCTCTTGAAATTAAAGAAGGGGGGAGGACCTTTAATGTTGTCCAAATATGTCAAGACCAAAGGCCAAAGATACGATTACATCTAAATGAGTCCATCATTTACTTATTTATTAACTGTGCTCACTTACTTATATTTAATAGACATAATCATGCCAGACTAAAGTTATAACCTTCTAACCTAATAGATAGGCCCTGGAAGATTCTAGAGCAGGGGTGTCCAACCTTGGCAACTTTAAGACTTGTGGACTTCAACTCCCAGAATTCCTCAGCCAGCTGGCTGAGGAATTCTGGG